CAGTCTGGTCTAGGTCTAGGCTAGGGTAGTAGAGGTCTATTAATAGTTGAGAGAAATCGGTTCGGGACTTTTGGCTGTCCATTCTCGCGAAGCAGCGCTTGGAGAGGCCAAGCAAGTTGGTGGCGGTGATTGTCTACAGGCGGTATCCTAAGACCCTCGCCGTGGACGGCAGCCATAGCCGGCCCTTCTGAAGGTTGTCGGAGCTGGGGCATCCTCAGCGCATCTACCCCTGAGGATATCTGCGTCTGGCCAGGCTATCTCGAGGCTCTTCACTGAGTGTTTGTGGGTGGCGGCAGCCATAGCTGCCTGTTTCTTCGTCAGAGTTGTTCACCGGCACTGAGGACTACATCGCAGGATCTGTTCTTCATTTGGGTGGTTGGCGCTGGCCTTTAGGAGGCCATTTCGGTGTTGTGCTACTAACTGGGTGTAGGGTAGAGAGTGGAGTGTGGGGTTCTGAGGGTGGCGAAATACTGGAACAAACTCTGTAACGATATCGGGTTTTAATTGGCTCTTCATCAGTGTGAATTTCCAATTGTTATCCTCGCAGGTTTCTTCTTGTGATTGGTTGTTGGGAGTCTGTCAGAGAGTGAGAAACCCAGGGTGTTTTCTCCCCATCTGTGCATGGCTGAACTTTCGCTGTTTACTTTGATCTGTGTACAGTTTGGACTCTGTCTCCTCTCCCCCATCTCTTATGCATGTATGGGCGTGTATGAGACTGTCTGTGTGTGAGTGGCGGTGAAAATCGTCAGACAACCAAGATCATAACAGTTGGTATCGGAGCTGGATTGGAATTGGAGCACTGAGGGTTGAGTGCAACTGGGGCACATCTTCTTCATCTGACGAACTACTCGCGAGAAGTTTCATGGCGATTCGTCTTCTCCTGTACTGAGATAGCAGGGAAGAAGCGGTGAATTCAGGAGTTCGGTGCTTGTATTGAGCAAGCGCATTGAGCCTGTCAGGGTGCTTGTCAGAAAGTGGCGAGAACAGGGTCAATTCGCCATAGCCAACCCTGAGGGCAGGATAGCGAATTGCCTCAGAGTGGCGAATTACCCCTGAGGACTTCATGGATCTCTGAGCGGCTTCATCCCTGACCAGCGCTGAGGGAGATTGATGGTTTGTGTCAATCTCAGGAGGGATCAACCCCATTTGGGGCTATTTATAGCAGTCAGGCATTGTGGCGAAATAATCTTCTGTTGGCTTTCTGAGCGCCACAGGGTCAGATTCAGGGAATCTGGCAGAAGGGGTTGCACGCTTCAGGATTCTGAAGAGGATCAACAAGTTTGAAGAAGTTCTGTGCGTGGAACAGAGAGGAGGAATCTCTAGGTGAAATTGGCGAGATGAGAGTTTCAGTCTGCCATAGCCAAATCTTCATCAAGCTTTGCAGAGAACTCTGAAAGTGAGTCCGTTCCATGCACATACCTGTATAGCGATTCAGATAGGGTTAGAATAAGTAGTATTGATGGTCTGTCTGACTGTTAGTGTCTGAAGGTGAAAATCACAGACTGCATGACAGCCATAGCCATCCCTTTCCTACCTTCCTCTGCTCATTTCTTACCCTCTGTTGACTCCTTTCCATCCAAAATTGTCCTGTGACTGCTTGACTGTATTGCGCTTGATTTGGGATGCTCAGATTGTGAATTCAGTACTGGAAAAGTACAGATACTGTGAATTGTAGTTTTGCGCTGAGTCTAATTATAGCCTGTGCTAGCTAGGGTCAACCATAACTTTAATTTTGTCCGTCAGAATTCAATTCTGTCAGTTGCCAGTGAATCACAATCCAAAAATAGTCAGTATTGTAGGAGGGTTTGATTGGACCCCAGGGTATGGCCGCCAGAGTCATCAGGGCCGAAATTGGAGTCTGGGTTAGGATTTAGGGTCTCTGACTGAATCGCTCTGCTTGATTGATCACTCTTGTCTGTACTTGCCATATTTTATCATTCTCACTGATTACTCTTGCTTTCTAGTGGGCTTTGGAAATCTAGTGTCTCTCTGGAAGAGTAGTGGTTGTGTCTACTAACTCTAGTGTGGTGCAGGGTCAGTAAAAGGAAATCGTGTGAGAGGTTTTACTGGACTATCTGTCTGTCAGACATCTGACCCCAGAGAACCGTTCCAACCCAAATCGCTTGTTGCCCATTCACCCACCTGAGTTTTGTGTATGAGATAGCAGCGATTTCTGAGTGTCTGTAGGAATCTGTATATCGCTGCATACTCTTTGCTGTCTGTCTGATACTTTGTTTCCTGAAGAGGGAAGATGGCGGATCAGGGAACTCAGCAGCAGCCACAGGTGGAAGTAATGATGAAGGTAGAAGAACCACAACCTTTTACCTCCACCCCTACTAGTCCTCTGACTGCTACTCACCAGAAGAAGAAGGAACTACAGGAAAGACTGCAGCAGGAACAGGCGCTGCTAGCAGAACTGGAGAGACAGGAGGCGGCTGAGTTAGAGGCTGCAACAGATACTTCTCGCAGGGAGTACCTGTTGGAGTAGCTAAACAAGGTCCTGGCAGATGATCATTGTTCCCAGGTGAATAAGAACCTGGCAGAGTGGGCCATTATGGAACACAAAGCCACCAGTTCTTATTTCACTAACTGGGATGATCGCCTGGACCATTTAGAGCATCGGGTTGATGATCTGGCAGCTCAGCAGTCAAGGATACTGGATGCAATTCAGTCCTTAACTGCTCAGCTGACAGCAGCCAAGATGATCGTTCCTCAGTCCCCAGGATTCAAACCCAAACCTCCTCCTTCCTCTCCATCCTCTCCTCCCAATTCACGTCATTCTTCCCCCTCACCACCTTCATCCCAAAAGGCCACAGCCAAACCCACTTTTGCAGTTGTTGTTGCAGGGGATCGGAGAGGTCCCAAGATCCCTGCCCCCAACAAGTTCAGAGGGGATGACCCCAAGACGGATGTTGGGGACTGGGCTGCAGGGACCAGGGCTTACTTGAGGGGCTTCATATGCCCAGAACAGACAAAAGTGGCTACAATTCTGGGACTGTTGGAGGGGCCTGCTCAAAAGTGGGCTACCTCTACCTCCAGCGGGCTGCAGAAATCCATGGAGGATTGGGCTTTGGGAATGGGGGTGGACAGTCTTCTGCAGGCTCTGGAAGACCGCTTTGCAGACAAGGAGCGGGCCCGCAAAGCTGCTGACAGGATTGCTCGCCTGGGGCAGCAGCGCTACAACGGTTCCCTGCAATCGTTGTTTGCAGAGTTCGAGCAGCTAACTTCCACCCCTGGTTTGGTCATGTCTGCAGATAACCTACTGACCAACTTCTGCAGGGCCGCCCCTGAGAAGTTTTATGTTGCTTTGTACAACGCTGGGCACAAGGATTGGAGATCCTTTGGCCGCGCAACCCTGGACATGGAAGCCAAACTTCATGTTCAGGCCCCCTCCTCTAACAGGAGGAAAGGTGCCTTCCCTCGTGGTGGTAGAAAGGGAAAGGCAGACTTTGCGGATGCAGGGTCTGCATCAGCTTCTGTTTCAGACTCCCAGGCTGATACACCATCAGCTGGGACTGGATCAGCTGCTGAAAGTATGTTGCAATGGCCCTGACTCAGGCTGTTTTGGGAGTTTTGCAGCAACAAAAAAGATTCTCCCCCACCACAGCCTCAGCCAGTCCAAAGGGGAAGGACAAGGGACGTCGGCCTTCCTCCTCCCAGCGCCCTAATCTGCCAAAGGACGTCCGTATGCCAGCCGACCCACTCAATCCCTCCACTCTCCCCTGGCATGACCTCAAGATCCAGGAGGGAGTGTAGAGAAGGAGGAAGGAGAGAGGGGTCTGGCTGAGATGTGAGGGACCACACTTCTTGAAGGACTGTCGTTACATGCCAGGCCCAGGACAATCAAAAAACTAAAGCAGACCCTGGGGACTGCAGTTCCCCCCAGTGCTGCACTCCCATCTGCTGATGTAGGTGGATCTGCAACTGCTTCAGTTGAGACAGAGTCTGAGTGTTTGGGGATTGCACGGGCAGCATCCTTATGCTATGAGGATTCTGACCCGGATCAGGACCCGGGGCAGGATGAACTTCAGTCACTTGCTGCTTTATTCCTTCCTCTGAAAGAACAGAAAAAAAGCAAGTCCGATCTCATCCTACTTCGGCCCCTGATCAACAACATCAGCATCAAGGGGTTGTTGGATTGTGGAGCCACCAGGAACTTCATGTCTCCCAGTGCTGTCAAGAAACTGCATCTGGGCATGAAAGTTCAGCAGTTGCAGTAACCGCTGCTAGTCAGAATAGGTGACTCCACTGTTCTCACGATCAGGGAGAAGGTCAGGGGTATCCCTGTCACCTTCGACAGTGTTGGAGAAGTCAGACAGTTTGAACTTCTACATATTCCCTGATCTACCCTTTGATCTGGTGTTCTCTATGCAGTGGCTAAAGGTCGTCAACCCAAGGATCGACTGGCAGATCCCAAAGGTTGAACTGCCTAACAGACAGGGGGTGTACCAGCCATGTATGATTGCTGCTGAACACCACCCTAAAACCAATTGCTACTGTTTCAGAGTGAGGGAGTTCTATGCTCTCTCGCACTAGTATGACCATGAGCGCCTGTTCTTAGCTCTGGTCAAGCAGATAGACGCTCCCACTGTTTCCTGTCCTCCTGAGATACAGCAGGTTGTGGACCAGTACGCTGATCTGATGCAGGAGCCCTTTGGGTTACCCAACCGGCCAACCAAGCATCACATTGAGCTACTACCTGGAGCGGTCCCTCCCAAGGGCCGCATCAACAGGATGTCCCCTGCTGAGCTTGAGGAGCTCAGACAACAGCTTGAGAACCTGAACAACAAAGGCTGGATACGGCCGAGCACTTCTGAATTTGGGGCACCAATCCTCTTCGTCCCGAAAGGGAATGGAGAATTCAAAATGTGCATCGACTACAGGGGTTCAACAAGATCACTATGAAGACTACAGAGCCACTTCCTATGATCGATGACCTTCTGGATATGGTGCAGGGCTGCACAGTATTCAGCAAAGTCGACCTCAAATTTGGATATCACCAGATTGAGATGGTAGAGGAGGATGTCTATAAGACAGCCTTCAAGACCAGGTATGGTACGTTCCTGGTCATGCCATTTGGACTTTGCAACGCCCCAGGTACCTTCCAGACAGAGATGCACCACATCTTCAGGCCTTACCTGGACAAGTTCATGGTTGTCTACCTAGATGACATCCTGGTATTCAGCCGAACTGCCAGGGAACATGCGGAGCACTTGACACTAGTTCTTCAGTCGTTACGCGACAACCAGTATAAGATTAACAGAGATAAGTCCTCTTTTGGAGTTCCCTCTGTCATCTATCTGGGTCACGTAATCTCTACGGATGGCCTGACTCCTGAAGCAGCCAAGATAGCGGCTATTCAGGAGTGTCCACAACCACAGACAGTGAGGGATGTCAGGTCCTTCATGGGCTTAGCCTCGTACTACAGGAAGTTTGTCAGAAACTTTTCTGCAGTGGCTGCACCCCTGACCAACCTAACAAGGAAAGACACTCCTTTTCTTTGGTCCCTTTCCTGTCAGTTGGCCTTCACACGACTCAAGAAGGCCTTGACTCGTGCACCACTGCTAAAGTTGCCTGACCCCACTCTGCCATTCATTCTGACCACTGACGCAAGTCATTATGGCATTGGGGCAGTTCTTCAGCAAGATGATGGGAATGGTCTACGACCAGTAGAGTTTATGAGTAAGATGATCAAGACTCAAAAGCTTCAGGACTCTACCTACGAGAAAGAGTTGTATGCTCTTGTCTGTGCCGTGAAACATTGGAAGCACTTTCTCCTGGGAAGACACTTCAAGATCTTTTCAGACCACTCCACCTTACAGTGGATGAAGTCCCAGGGAGAGTTAAATGATAAGTTGGCACGATACATTCAGTTCATAGACATGTTTGACTTTGAACTGATGAACTGAAGCATAAGAAGGGCTGCTACAATAAGGTAGTAGATGCCCTCTCTCGTAGGCCTGACTCTTTTACACTGATCTCCTCGACTCCCTACAATGACTTGCTGATTTCAACTGTCGAGACTAACTGCGAGGCTGTACAGTAACAGTGGTAGGGTAGGTTGACAATTTTGTTTGGTTGAGGGCTAACCGAGAGATCTACCTGTAAGGAATATTCGTGAGGGACATATCTGCAAATTTGGGAAAATACAGGCCCAACACTAATTTGAAATTCCTACATTTGACCCTAACTGCGGATAGCAGACCCGGGCTACCCATAGGACGGACAGGCCTTGAGTGCCTATACCGATAGACGGTCCTATAGCCTATAGCCGGGTAGGGAAAGGCCGAAACTGAATCAGTACCGGTCGGTCCAGTCAGTCTGGTCTAGGTC